TCGTTTGAACGTGATTCGACAGAAGGTGATGTTACACGGGACGATTCGCAACGACGATTTTTAGCGCAATGCAGCGTGGCAACATTGCTGCAACATTGTTTCGAATGGTTACAACATTGTTCCAACATTGCAGCGCTGTGTTGCGCTAAAAACGGTCGTTGCGAATCGTCCCGTGTAAAATCACCTATAAGGGATAGGGTAATATTTCCGGCGTTCAATTTTGAGTTGAAAAATTGGAAGACGTGTTAGTAATTCAGGCCCTCCTTTTCGGCAACTCAGTTGATATTTCCCGATGATAAGTTATCATCGGGATTAGCGGTAACAATTGAAACTGTCAGCCATTTTCATAAATCCAGGGCAAACATTCTTTGTTAAATTTTGAGGATCAGATTTTGAATATCTGCCGGGTAATTTTTTCAGTGTTGGAGCTGGACCATCCACGGGATTCTTCAGAATGAGCTACACTACGAGAATTATTTAAGAAAAATACTTTTTCTCTTCACCGCGTGTTAGCGTTACTTGTACTGTAATGGGGAGCTTTAGCAACTACGACGAAGACGACGTCAAAAAACGATTGGTTTTATGAGCAAAACAAAAGCTCCGTACGTGCATTACGCTTTTTAGTACAATACTTCGACGTCCACTGCACGACTACGACGTGAAACCTCCCAATGCGACGTTTTATGGAGGACGTGGGCATACGACGACAAATTTTCCTTTCTCTCTTTGAACATGGATTAAGTCCTTAAGAATTCAATTCCAGGAAAAGTCGCCTACATTTCATTTGACAAATTGAGCGGGTCCAAATAGACGCGATTAAGTTTGAAAGGACGCAAATTTAGTTTTTAGTGATGTAGTGAACGAGAAAGCCATATGATCGTAGAAAAGTGACATAGTACCCCGCCTTTGTCGGTTACCAAAAGATAAGAGGCCGAGTGAGAAGAGGCATGTTTCAAACTTTAGGCCATAATATGGGCGCTTATTCGAGTATTCACACACAACAATTGTGTGCCGAAAAATTTGTTATAATCGATTATAGAATATGTTCAATCGATAATCGCGGGAAAATATAAATTTCTTGTTGCCTAATAAACATATTCTTTTATGGTCTCATAATTAAAGAAGAAAACGACTACGATCACCTGAAAGCACAGAAAAATTTTGAACTCAGTGGTCCACGATCAAAACAGAGTACTAACGCACAAAATAACTCAGAAAATAAAATGGACATGATTGGTACCTGGTACATATCCACGGCAATCATGGGATGTTTCTGACTTGGTGCGATAACTACAGTGTTACCTCGGATGACTGCAGGCGCCAGTAGGGACACAAAGGCCAGTAAGGGACACGTGTCAGGACAAGCAATGCCTATCACCCCTACAGGCTCATGGATCTTAACTGTAGCACCATAGAACGGCGTTTCCTTAGGGAGGGGAGAGAGAGGAAAATATAAAAGCCAAGAAGAGAAGGTACAATGTTAGCCAACAAAACATATTACTGCGAGTTTAAAAAAACCCGCTTTATTTGAGTGTCAATGTATTTAGCAGGAAGTATTAAATGGGGACACTATTTTTTTCGTCTCCTACGAGAGACGGGACCGCCATTTTACGTGGTCATCCGAGTAACGTTAAGGTACGTCCAGCCGCTTGCAGTGCAAAGTGAGTACCTTCATTTCCCTGAGTGTTGGTCCGCTCCTGGGAATCGAACCCAGGAGCTCCCGCTCTGCAGTCAAGCGCTCTACCGACTGAGCTAATACTGCCGCGGTTGGAAACGAATCTTTGCATGTGAAAGTTAAACAAGGGGCAACAGCTTTGAGATTTTGCCTATAAGACTTGGTCATGGTGCCATATTGACGACGTTCCCTTAAATTAAGATGTATCTTAACTACTGACTTATAAAATAAACTCATAAGGGGTTGAAACGTGTAACTCTCATATGTTTGCTTTGTCCGATGCTCGTGATTATTCATTTTCAAAAGTACCATATTTGGAACGAGAAGAAGAGATAACTGACCAATCAAACTTCGTAAACAACGTGACGTAATTTTACTTTACGTTCCCGCGCCCGCTTAAAAAAAATGGCCGACAAATGGGGGAAAAACTCCCGAAAGCCGAGAAAGCTTTCAAAGGTTGAAACCAGGAATCTTACCGAACTACTGAGCAGGATATTATTGCCTTACCACCCGGGCCAAACGTAACATTATGAAACCCATTGACGTCCTCGAACCTTCTTGAAGTTGTCACCTCAAAAAACGTTGACCCTCTGCACAGTAAACTTATACCGCAATTCTTATATTACTGTAAAACTTTTTTCGAATAAAATTCATTAGCTGCGTATCGAAAAGTGTCCAAAACCTGAAACTGAAATCTTTGCAAAAAGTGATGCGTGAAAGTAATGTGAGAAGGATTTAACTCATTCTTGTCACTTTAAGCTTAAATTTAGCTTGGATGTGGTCACGATCGTGTTTTGAGCTAATTTCATGAATGAAGAAAGTCAAAACAAATAGACAGGAAAGCCGTTTCTTGAAAGTTTTCATTCAAAATCCAAAAAGTTAATCCTTTAAAGCAATTCGGGAAACACTATCTAGATTGTGGATCCGTTAACGCAAGTGAAATTGACTGAGCACGTGGCAAAATTCAACACAAAATCCATCTCAAATCGGGCACATTTTGTAATTTTTCTTTAGCGCCGAAGAGAAAAATTTATGAAACATTTAAAAATACATAAATTCCCTTTCAAAAACGTAATTGTCTTGACCATAGAGTGCAAAATGTACCTGAAAATTCAGCAAACACTTCACTGCCTTGGTTGCATTTCAAAACAGACCATGCGCTCCGTTGTGAAGAAAACAAGGTTGAATTCCTCGAAGGACGATTTCTTGATGAAAAGCTTCCCTTCCTCCACAAAAAGAAAGCTGAGCAGTCTTTTGAACTTTCTCTTTCCATTTTTTGTCTTTTAACGGTGTTCTTTGAACCTTGAAATGCAGAACTCTTGTCTTAAAACATCTGCATGGAGATCGCGCGGCAGACATTTGTTTAAAATGGATATCTGTCACTAAGGTTTCCAAATATGGTAAAATTGAATATTCACGAGCATTGAACGCGAGTTACACGTTTCAACCCCTTATGAGTTTCTGCTTATAAACAATACACCGGACACTTACATAAGACGTAAAACGGAAACCAGAGTTAGTCCCTACCTTTCTTTATTCTCAATAAGACGGACACCTCTCTAAAACGGACCCTTAGAAAGGGGCCCAAAGGTGTCCAGAATGTTGACTACAGAATACTTAATATAAGACATGGCCTTAAAGTGGCTCCTGGAAAGTTGCTTGGAGAACATGAAAGTCCAAATGGCAAGTAGACAGTTTCTTGCCACAAACACGTGACCATAATCAACTTGTTTTTGCAACGTACCAACTCGCATACCACTTTGGTAAACTCGCTCTTCTATTCTCTAGTTAACATTATGGAAAGTTCCGTTGAGAACGTCTTCGCAAAAGGTTGAAGTATTTTAGTGGGTTGTATTTTCAACGTACCCTCACGTACCAAAGAAGAATCAAAGACGCCCAAGAAGGATTCTTGAGGAATTTGGGTGGAGGGGGTTTTCCAGCCCTAGTTCCGACTATCCACTACAGCACGCACACGGATAATTGATACCAGCTGCCTGAACTACTTCGGAAAGGTAGTGTCGCCTACCAAAAACTCCAGGGAAAAGATGTTAGCGAGTTAATCATGGAAGTCGGCAAGTTGAGCGACTGTGCAAGTTAATTAAATGCGAATTAAATGTCTGCATTGTTTTAGTGAGTGGTTTGAACCCAGGAGTCATGATAAATGTCGATGGGATATAATCGTCCGGGTGGGTGTAGTCCTGAATAGGACTAGTGGAGAGTGACTAATGACAACCCGTGCGGTAGTTATATTCACGCACATTTAACTCGGAAGATGACCATCGAACAGTTTGTCATCAGTCACTGTCCATAAGTCCTGTTCAAGAATACGAACAACCTGATTATCAATTTTCCATCTACTGTATTAATGCCTACATTTTGTACCTACCGTGTGGCACGAAAGTTTTGCGATTTTCAAGCGATCCGCAAAAATAAGTTCCCGCAAATAAAAATTACAGCAAACATTTTCCCCTTCTTCTCTATATATACCTTAAATTCGCTACACAAGACATTACGAAGAAATCGCGTCTGTCTGAAATCGTGCCTCTTTCATTCAGAAACAAAACGATATAAAATGAATTACTGGTTTTACATAGGGTACGCATACCACAGTGTTGTTTGAGAGTATGTATTCTGTTGCACGTACTTAACAAAAACGCACATAAAGATTACCGCAAAAATTTTTCCCGCAAAGATTTACTCCAGAGTTAATATTCTCTACCTTAAATTCGCTACACAAGACATTACCAAGAAATCCAGTCTGTCTGAAATCGTGCCTCTTTCATTTAGAAACAAAACGGTATACAATGAATTACTGGTTTTACATAGGGTAGGCATACCATAGTATTGTTTGAGAGTATGTATTCTATTGCACGTACTTAACGAAAACGAAAATATTATCAATGCTAGCTGGATACTGGGTAATTTCTGAAAACCGCAAAAATTAATTCCCACCAAGAAAAACCAATCTGTCCTAATCGCAAAAATTGGTTCCCGCAAGACACAACAAATCGCCAATCCGCAAAAATGAACTCTCCAAAAATTTCGTGCAGCACGGTATTCTTGTTAACATTAGTTGGTTTATTCTCACACCTACCTGTACAGTACCTCCATATTTATCTGCATAAGCACCCCAGTAAAACAGCCGCTGTATTGCGACATCGACTCCCTTGCTGGCCTCTTCCTGCGAGCAGCCTGTCATATCGCACAGTCTCTGACTAAACTCACTGCGTCGCAGCTCTAAATTTTCCGTCATGTAGTAAACAATTTGAGCTCTGTTTTGGGCGACTCTCTTGCCCCAATCAAGGGAAAAGGTAATAAAAAAATCATCTTAAACTCCAGAAGGTCTGGCCAGTTACCTATTTTTTTTTGTTATTTTAATAAATTTTTATTTCGTCTTACAATAAATTTATGTATTACAATGTTTTACACGGTGACCCTTACATTTGTATGAAGACGAAAGAAAAATACAAAAACAAAAAAGAACGAAAAGAAAACTAACCATATAGACATCGCACACACACAATTACATACTGATAAAAACACACCCCAGTAAATTCTTCTCTATTTACATGAAAAATTAATAAATGAAGAAAGCGGCGAAATGGTCGTATGCGACTCAACTTTATATTTGCTGCATTTCATATCGTGGGTCTCTAACTTATCGTCTGACTTAGCGATCATTGTCTCGATTACAAAACAGTGTTTAATTTTAGAAGTAAGAACTCTAATGGAGGGAGAATGTTTGTTCTGTCTACAAGAGTATGGGTATGGTTATTCCAATAGTAAAATATGATTCCCAAATATCTCGTCCTCACATTCAATAATACCAAACAGTATATCTTTGCCAGTTACCTATAGCTTTTTGGGACGGCACGAAAAGCTATCTGCGGGTATAGTGTGACCATAGCCTTTAACACCCTACTCCCCAACAATACACGCACCCTGCTGCTGCTTTATGTGCGGCCTCCACAGCATCTCTGATGAGGGTCGTGAAGGGGTAAAATGGGAACTGGGATTAGCCTTATTGTGGACTGGGAAAATGGGATTTACTCACTGGGACTGGGATTTAGCCACTGGGAATGGGATGAACAATTATAAAATGGGAATGGGATTTCTTTTCTTCAGCGGTCTTTGCTCCAATATTTGAAATAGAAAAATAAAATTTCGTAGCAATAGACCTTGCACTCCTCAGTAGAGACCGTGAAATCAGTATTTTTCGCCTTCGCGCCCGCGGTCTAGCTACCAGGCTTACACGGTTGCATAGTTACGTTCTGTCAGTTTTCCTGGTCAGCGGACAAGTTCTGCAAGTTTGCATGTGGTGGGAAGATATTGTGAAGGGAAGATAAAAATGGCTTTGGAAAAGGTTTCTTCGCAAAATGGTACTAGAAATCAACTACGTCAATGCAAATAACGCCGTTATACACACCGAAAGTTTGGTAACTGGGATTTTGGCAAAAATTAGCGTGGGAACTGGGATCTGGACCAAATTTAGGCTGGGAACTGGGATTTGGTACCCCCCTTCACGACCCTCTCTGATGTCCTTTCTGTTTCCGTCAGCCACTTGTCCTATAACTTCCCCTGAGGGGTTTTGTACGGGTCGAGAGTAGTTTCCCTCCGGTCGCTTCTGAGCTCCTCCAATGTAAACTTTGTAAGTATGATCAATACTGAAAAAAACGAAAAGAAAAGAAAGAAAAAACTACAAGTGTTGTCACTGTTACGGCCTAAAGACAGCTAACGCGACTGTGTAACAAGTGATGTCTGATTGGTGAATAACCAAAACCAAAGCGTTCACGATTTTTGGGCTCACACAGTAGGATCGAAAATCCACGGTTTTGAAACCACCGTAAACCAATAAAGCCTTGGTACATACCAATTACAACTGAATCTTTCCTTAACAAGGCCTCGATCTGTATTACGGACAGTTTTCTACGTCCAAAACAGAGATACAGACTTCACACACCTGGCTGTGATTCCCAGACTTGACACAGTTACAGGGGTCTCCGTATTCATGACCTCTGACTGCAAGACTTCCATTGATAAAGACCTTATACTAAGGAGTATAAATTCCATGACACTGTATACAACAATAACATAAGAAGACCTCTTTCTTACCTTGGAGGTTTAATTTCGCCTAATTTTCCTGATACAATTTCCGGGAGTTTCACAGGATTGGAATTTGGATTCATCACTATCGCAGGAACAGTCGATCCAAATGACTTCACATCGTAGTCCTCCACAGATGGTCGTGCTCTGGTTTGCCATGATGGGCAGACATATTCATACAAGCCCCGTCACCAAAATTTAACATTTATACACTTAATTAGGCTGGGAACAAATACTAGCTTAAAGGATTCACGGAGAAGTCCTTCTGTTAAAACAATGTTTAACATCTATTGTCAAGAACAAAATTCTAAAGCTCAGCTATATTTACACTATGATACCGTGGGCTAGCTTTGCGTGCCGACACGAAAAGCTAGCCCACGGTATAGTATGAACATCTATCCGACACGCGACTCTCCGCTTTACAGATCAGAGCAGCGCAGCTTCGCTCTGTCACAGAAATTGCGCCGCCACAACCATTTTTGAGTATGAACAGAAGCGCTATCCGGTATGATTTACTGACGTGGCGGCGCAGAAGCGTATCTATTTAGGTTTCTGGGAAACTGCCCACCTACCCCTCCCCTAAGTCAACATTTTTACGTCTCGTTTGGGGCAAAATGTTGGCTTAGGGGAGGGGTAGGTGGTCAGTTTCCCAAAAACCTAAATTGGTCCGCAAAAGCTATCCGGCGTAGTGTGAACACAACCTAAAACTCAATTTTGTTGGAAAATTGGACTCAAAACGATCAAGTCTCAGGAGCTGAATACAAACATTATTGCTTTTAAGAGGGAGTCTCCCTAAAACCGGTCCACTGCGTTTCCTTTAAACTTTGCCCATGAATATATCTTAGTCCAAAAGTAATTGAAACCGCATTAGTTTTTGAAAATATTTCAAAATAAAATTTTTCGGGAGAAAAATCACTTCAGCACTCGGAGGCCAAATTTTTGCAGTGACAAAGAGTGAAAATAGCGCATATTGCCGAGTTCACCACTTCAAAGTTTTGCACTTTCAACGATTTTTTTCACTTCCTAGGATTAAATTGGTCCTTAAATGATGTAAAGGACACAATTTTAGTCCTTCAAAAACAACTCGTGTCTACTAAATATTTTTTGATTTACACCCACTTTGCCGTACGCAGGAAATGACTCAAAAATGCATATTTTCATCGTAGCACTGTGCAAAATCCCCAAATCTTCTAAACAAAATGTCTTTTCAGACCAACAAAGGGAATGTCCAAAAACATAGAAACATAAAAATATGTTGTGATTTTAACGATTTATCAGCACAGCCGATCGACGAAATATGCCTATTTTCCGTTATGACTGTTTACAATACACGATGGAAGGTCTTAATGCAAAGCCCGAATAACACAATAATTCATCAAATGCATCAAGTATTTTAAACTTTTTGTGACTTTTGACACAATAGAACATCATGTAGGAAAGGAAAGCCTTTAAGCCGAACGCATTAATACTACCACTGCCACTAGAAAACAATAGTAGTGGTGTACCTGTTTACAGCGCTTGATCCGATCGAGTCGTCTTCGCTGTGTACACAAAACTGATATCACATGATGGCTCCTGTCACGTATTCCTATATCTGGAATCGTTACGTCGTGAAAACACTTTTTGCTAGTCTGACTAAAATTGAATGGCAGGAAATTATCTTATCAATAGAGTATTCTATTATATTTATTGCTGTTTTCGTTGACAAGCTACAATATCAAGAATCATGCATGCATAAGTGCCCAGTTCATTAGCAACAGCAACTTTTTAGTTTTCCTCGAACAGGCTCCTGTCCATTCAGGTTAGCATTTATAAAACAATTGGTTGTCGCTATGAGCTTTCTCTTTGTTTTGTTTTATGCTTGTCGTTTAAGTTTGCATTTTTTATTATTTTTAATATATTTCATATTTCTGGTAGCCCATGGTATTAAACCGACGAGTACCTGTTTTCAGGTCTTATCAAGCTCCCCGAATCAGGGTGGGCCTGGGGATAGGGGTGGAGTGTGCTTGCTGGCAGGAGGTCCGCTAGACTGTTCACAGTCCTCTATTTTTCCGTAAATCGTCGGTATCAAGCACATTCTCTAACAGGTGGCCATCTTGGTTTTAAAATGTACCGGGTTTAGCCTGGGGATGACTATGAAATCTACTCTTGGGGCAGCGGACCCAAGAAGGCCCGCACATCTGGACGATTTTACGGAAAGATAAGGGACAGTGAACAGTCTAGTGGCCCGCAAGCAAACATCCCCATTGCTATTATCCTAGAACAAATACTGCATCTTTGAAATTAGGTTACCCTGCATTTAAAACTGGCGTGCTGGTTTACCTCGTTTAGCGCTTTCGATTTTGACTCTATTCCTTCCGTTTCTGGTTTGACTAATATCTTGTACGTACACTAGCTAATAATGACTAGTAGTTTTAGCCAGGGCTAAAAGTGCAGCTCTGACTCGTTAATTTACTCAAAGTTGTATCCCAGAAAAAAAAAAAATTAATAAAAATCGTGTAATGCTAACCGGTGACGGCAACGAGAAACGCAAAAAAAATCAATAGGGCTTAAGAGCGAAAAAAAAAAGTTTGCACGTGCAGCACATTTTTTTGTACGTTTCTTTGTCATCGTTTTGCACGACTTCAACGTACGTGAAACGTCCTATTTTAACTTTGCTGGCCGCTAACATTTGTCATTTTCTTATCACAGCTTTGAATTTTTTTATGTTTTTTTCTTCCGCAATGAACTTTGTCTCCTTTCTTTTTTTTCTTTTTGTTTTGTTTTGTCAGTTTCGCTCTAGCTTTTTCGCTGTTATCGGTGTCAGTGTAATGGTAGTAGGGGGAAACAGTCGAACGCACGATCACGTGATTACGAAATTTTCTCGCATTTTACAGGTTACCATTTTTTTTTCGCACGCGCGAGAGCTTCGCTTATACTCATTCTCTATTACGGAAAATGGTTAATTATTAATAGTGCCATATTTTCAAATTCTTGTCCCGTTAGTACCGAAATGCACATATTAAGCTAGCGATTTTCCTTGAAAGGCTGTCAATTCACAGTGAGCCCGCGGAAGAAAAATGAGTAATAATAGGCAGGGTACAAACTCACCGAGGTAGAGTCGTTGTCCTTCTTCTCGCGTCTTTTCCAACAATCTTTTTCACAACACAAGAGCACTCTACAACCATTTTAGTTATCTTTTGAAGAAGATCAGATTTCGAGGTTCTTGTGCCAAATGAAATC